AAATCAACCGATGTAAAATCAAACCTAAATATAAAACTTAATAATTGGTCAGTAACTGCAAATAGTTACATAAGAATATCCATATTTTGACATTTTATGTTTATTTCACATAGGTTATACAAACAAATGTGACACTTATGTAGTAGTGTAAAGTCATAACGAGGAACTAATAGTAAAATACATTTCTACCGATTGTTTGAATTTTCCCATGTTTAGGACTGCAGCTGATCAGTCTCTTTAGGTATACGTGCATCCTGTGTGAACTGCCTCGATACTGCCATTAAATCATAATCATCTTAAGCAGAGATAGATGTTGATTAGCAGTGGGGTTCAGAATATGAGTTTATTCTCATTTAAAGCTCATTAGTTCGATGTGCCTAAACTTCAGAGTAAACATCAACTTTGAGAAACAGGCACATTTAGCTGATGAGTTTCAAATAAGGCGAAACACGCATTCTGGATTGCACTGTTAACTATCATCTTTCTCTGCTTATAATAACAAAATTTTACTTTACCCAGCTTACATTTCTAATGTATAGTTTAATGAAGCATATCAATCACTTTTCCCCCTAAAAATGACAAATCGACTAGAGAAGAGAATGATTTCTATGTATGAAAAACGATTATTTTGATAAATAAAGAGAAGCCATTAATGATTAACATCTAATTATAAAGAAATTATTATTGATCGTAATTGGAACTTTTTCTAGAAAAAAAATCACGTAAAAAGTAGTTTTCATTTCAAGTTAATAACACGCATAAAATTTCAATGACAAATAATACTAATACTACTACTACTACTGCTACTACTACTACTACTACTACTACTACTACTAATAATAATAATAATAATAATAATAATAATAATTACATAATTCACTCCAGTTTACAGGTATGATCAGTCTGATATAATTAGTAACATTAAATATAGATTGTTTCAAGTTTTCTAGTTCGAAAATTGTTTAGGTAGTATATTTATGATGTGTATTACAGCAATGGAATGCACTAGACGGGAAATTTTAATTATTCTTAAATGGATATCCTGTTGATTTATATACGGTGTATTTAAGATCATTTCCTGTATCATAACTACAACTAGAGAAAGTAAGAATGGAAACAGAGAGCACGGAACAACAAAGCAATAATTATTAAAATATGTCAATCAGGTTTACCATAATGTATGTGTCACGTGACATTGATATACTATTCATGTTAGATATTATTCAAATTAGGGATACAAGGGACGGTGTTAACATATAGTAACAGAAGGTAGGTGGTTTACTTAGTGAATTCAGTAACAAGAATGACTAAACATTTAAAGTTCTTATAATCTCACTTGTGGAATAAGATACATTTACAGGTGCTAGAACATTTAATGCATTTTCAGAAGAGCAAGGGACAATGGATGGGAGTGATTTTATCTTATGGATAGATTAAGGTAGGTCATTCCAGAGTCTCGAAAATTTACAGGTCAAGTAATTCATATATAGAGATGATTTAGAATGGGTTTGTTTCATTAGTGACAAGCAGTCACAGGTGTCATAATCAGAAGCTTCTGCATATTGAATTACTTGACTGAAAGTAAAGGATAGTTTATTAAGTATTTTAAAGAAAAAGATTAGATTTAGTTTGAGTCTTCTCTTCCATAAAGGGTCGAGCCCAAGCTTATTACATCTGGAATTATAATTCAAGATACAATCGGTTCTAAGAATCTGAAGTGTCAGTCGTCTCTGTACTGAGTAAAACCTTAGTTTATCCTTTATGCGCACACCACTAAAAGTAAACGTACAGTATTCTAGGAGTGGTCAAACACAAACATTGTACATCAAAGTACATGACTCATTGTTATGCATCAGCTCCATGCTGATGCAACTTCGCATATTGTTCAGCTCATGAGGAGAAAATGAATACCCTACTTTAAGGTCTTCTGCACACAGAAGGGGCTTGCCCACACAAAAAACTACAATGAGTAAAGGGCCTAAGATACTAATTTGTATTACACCACTTCTAGCAGGGACAGCGTCCGACAATGATGAGTTAATTTTATCTATTTGATGTCGGTTGCTAAGGAAGGAACCAAACCAAGCAAGCAAAGGGTTTGGGACCCCGTAGGTTGGTGATTAACCATGTCGAAGGCTTTAGAAATGTCCAAGTATAACACTGAGACTAGATATCCCTGGTTACGTTGAGAATAAGCTGGATTAAAAAAGTCAAAGTGGCATGTCACTCAAGATCGATTTTTAAGAAATCCATGTTGAGCACCATTGATAAAGTTCTCAGCTAGGAAATAGTTGGAGAGTTCGTCACTAATAACTTTTCCCACAATCCTAAAGATCACTGGAGTAATATTAATGGGCCGATAATTGTTCATGTCAGTCTTATCTCCGGATTTGTAACATGATATGATTTTCTTGGTTTTTTGACAGCGAGGGTAAGCACCTGACTCCATACAGTAAGCAGCTTTAGAAGAAGAAAAGGAATATCTGAACCACCATATCTGTAGAGAAAGGATGGAATCCATGATTGCCCGAGACTTTAAGGGAATTTATAGCCTCACTAACGTTTAGTTATATGAAGGATATATATTTTATTGAGTCACAAGTCACGCATATGACTCTTGAAACAGTGCCATTTAGGAGCCCTCTACCATTCACCAAAGTACCAATGAAAAGGTCTGCTATAGCTTTAGAGTAGTATGTAAAATTGCTATTATGCAGGATGCATGGTATATCAGGATTTTGAATTACTTTAACGCGTTTATTGAGAAGGAGAATTAGGTTTTGTACTTTTGTGCTAGTATTAAGTGCTAACAGCTCCTCGTTCATGGCTTTTAACCTGTACTTCTCACTAATTTGGTTAAACAATTTTGTTATTTGTGTAGCTGCCATGAAGTCATTTGATTTAAAATAACGTTTCTGTAGGCGCTTTGGTTTACTACGATATTTAGCTGGTATATATAATTCATAAGGTTTATTAAACCTGTACGTTTCAAGGGGTGCTCAAGAATCTAGACGAGAGTTGACGATCAGATAGGATGTGTCGATGGCATCCACGAAACTATTACATGGCAAAAATTTAACCCGGTATGAAAATGTAACCACTGAGCGCTAGAGGTCCCAGTCAGCATGCTTATAGTCTCTATATTGGCGGGATTCTGCATGAGTCGGTTATAATAGGGATAGATAGGGAGAGCACAAAACATTATTTTATGGTCATTGCTTTCAAATTCATTGTATACTTGTACAGCTAGTGGGATGATATCTTTATTAAGTAAATTATTATTATAATAAACAAGTATTCCAAACTTTTGTAATATCTCCCTATCTAGACATATTTCTGAATACATTTTTGATATGAACTTGAATCATCTAGAGAGAATTGAATAGCTTCATCGAATCAGTTTAAAACTCAGCAGTACAACCCTATGACTGTGTCTGTTTCTCAAGTCTGTGGCTAATAGAAATTGTCATCACTTAGAATGCAATTAAAATGATAATTTCAACTTAGCAGTATATCCTATAGATTGATATATGAGTTTTGTTTTTGCATTATTATTAAATGGAATTAGTTATTCTGATGGATAGTTTATTAATACGAATACAACATAAAGAATATTATCTAGGTATTTAGATTTCCTAATGAACATCTTTACATTTATCTTACATCTTCAATAATGATAATAATATTTAAATTCATGACATTTTTTGTAACTTTATTTATTATTCAATTTCATAAGTTAGTAACCGTATATGAAAAATCCTCAATAGAATTTGAATTCCTTTATTTCAATCTTAACTTGATATTTGAATAGATTTCATTTTAATCGTAATTTTCAGTGCTTTAGAATAAGTGAATAGTAGAAAGGGTAAATGAAATTACATTAATAATAATAATAATAATCATTCAATTCAGTAACATCTGTTTGGTGAAGACGCTGACAAAATGCAGAGTCTTCTGGTAGCACTAAGCAACAATGCCAGAATGTTTGGAATGCGCTTCTCTCCCTCTAAATGCAAGTTGTTGCTTCAGGACTGGTCTGCGTCAACACCTGAACTAAGGATAGGGAGTGAAGTAGTCGAACGCGTTGGCAACTTCACGTATCTTGGAAGTCTGATCAGCCCTAATGGGTTGGTATCTGACGATATCTCAGCACGGATTCGAAAAGCTCGTTTGGCTTTTGCCAACTTACGTCACCTTTGGCGGAGGCGAGATATCCGTCTATCAATAAAAGGAAGAGTATACTGCGCGGCAGTCCGTTCTGTCTTACTTTACGGCAGCGAAACATGGCCTTTAAGAGTAGAAGACACTCGTAAGCTATTAGTATTTGACCACAGATGCCTTAGAAATATTGCTGGCATCTGCTGGGATCACCGGGTAAGTAATAGTGAGGTTAGACGCAGGGTATTAGGGAATGATGGTAAATCAGTTGATGAGGTTATGAATCTTCATCGACTGAGATGGTTGGGCCACGTATTACGTATGCCTGAACACCGACTACCACGACGTGCAATTCTATCCGGTATTGGAGATGATTGGAAGAAAGTTAGGGGCGGCCAAACCAAAACGTGGCATCAGTGTTTGAAGTCACTAACTTCTAGTCTGAGCCATGTTGGTAGATGCAGACTACTTGGTTGGAGTCGGTGTGACTATCGTAACCAATGGTTGGAGACTCTTGGTGACATGGCTCAGAATCGATCACAATGGCGTCGGTGTATATACTCCCTGTCTTCCCTTAAACTAAGAGATTAAAATCACTTCATATCTTTCTTTCTACGAACCAATTCTTTCTTCTTGTACTATATCTCTATATGCAATCTTTCTCTTACATATTACTACCTTTGACCTAACCACTGCTATGAATCCGGTGTTCATCTTGTTGTGCTGATGCGGTATGGCAACCTGGACCGATGCACATATGTGCCTAGTCCTACGTTGTAGCTGACTGACTGACTGACTGACATCTATAGATAGTTTTCATTCTGTTTTGTATTTTTGTTCTTCTCATGTCATTTCATAGTACAATCATTTAAATAAAGATAAAGAATTATGAAAATCAAATGCCATAAAAATAATTAACCACTAAATTCATTTTTATGACAGATAAATTATAACAAAATGAAATATAAGAAAATATAATACATTCAATTGAATATTGAACATTGACAAACAAAAACACCGGAAGATGTAGGGCAACATTAAATAATTATCATAAGACATAATCATTAGAAAAAGAAAATCTATTCATTATCTCATTTTACTATACTAATATTACCATAGAAAAAAAAACCCAATTTATTTTACTTATACAAATTAAGAAAAAGAGAGAAAAAACTAAGTTTATCCATTAATTTAAAGAAAAAAGAAAAGATGATCAAATAGTTAGATATTTCTGAATTCATCATGTAGAATGAAGAAAAAAAACTAATTTACGATACAAACAATCTAGAAAAACAAACTAATCAATAAAGGAGAAAAAAAGGGACTTCAAATGAAGTACAAGATTTATACTTCAGATATAGATAACATTTTGAATTGTGAATTAGAATAAAAAGTTTTTCTTTTTATACATAAAGATCTTTAGAATTAGATCAAGTGAAATACAATTAGACAATAAGATTAATATTATAATGGTTGATATAGCTGATTTTGTTTCCATGATAAGAAGATTTAATAATGATAATATTGTACAGAACAATTTAGTTTAGTTGACAGATTTAAAATAGACACACATACACACACACACACAAGAAAAATGAAAACTCATATATTTCTTCTTTTTTTTTGATAACCATTACAAGCATTAAAGAGGTAATAAACGGAGGCAAATTAGTTTCTCAATGGTAATGTTACTGATGTAAATATAATATAAATATCAATACATGAATTGGAAATGTGATGGCATATTGTATGAATGATAAATACCTTTTCACAGGAATAATCATATATCTATTTTTATTGTTAGTTAACCATGAATTTCATTTTATTATTTGGCTCAGATTTGAAAGTATTTCATAATTGAACATTTATTTGTAACTCAGATCAATAAATAAACTGATGGTTTGTTGAGTGTAAAGTTCATCATTATTAGTAGACAAATGAATTGAATTGTAATGTATATATTTTCCATTAAAATTCTTTGAATAAATTACGAGAACTAATACTGGATAAGGGAATTTCGGACCAATCTTGTTCAAAATACTGTTCATAACAGCAGGTATCACCATCACTCTGTACATTGGGAATGATTGGGGGCTAAAATAATTTAAAAAAAGGAGTTATTGGTCAATGATATGTATATATACTACAGAATGTGATCCATTGTATTTTAAAAAATTGCTTCAATAGTGTTACACTGTCTAGGAGACTATAAGATCCTACATTCAGTCTAACATTTGGTTATACATAGGCATAGTCAATGACACCGAACTTCCATTAGACATATCCTCTATTCAAAATTCTGGAAACTTCCAAAATACCTTTCTCTTTTTGGAAAAATAAATTATTTATTAATTGTTGCTGTTAACATATCTCATTATCGAATCTGAAAATATCTTTTATATAGATCATCTACCATTTCTAAGTATTCCATAGAATCTAACTAATATCATCAAGTAAAATGGTCAGAGTTGGTTTGCTGACATTTGGATTTTACCAGTTAGAATAAACAGAAATAAATGATTATTTATTGACAGAAAGTTAGATGGACTTTCTTGAGAATAGTGTGACATTATTAATATTGTTAAGAAGATAAACAACTGTCAGAAATGGCTAAATACGATTCTTATTTTAGGCCCCTTACTTTTAATAAGTTGGAAAGGTAGATCACCATGATTTTCATACTTTGTTAAACTTTCAACTGCCAAAACGACTGACATATTTGATCGTTATTGTTTTATTTCTGTGAGGAGCTGCATGTGGTTTTGTATAGAAGTTAAAAATTACATAAATTTTGAAATTTACATAAAACAGCTGGCACACTACAGTACCTCTGAATTATTTGTTTAGAAAAAAATAACTTACTGGCTTGTATATATGCATCTATAACTATATATTTCCCTGTGTAAAGCATTTTATCAAGAAGTGATCTACTAGATATTATACAAGAAAACATGTAATAATGTATAGTTCTTCTCTGTGTCAGGCTTGAAGGTTACTCACTTTTGTGGTGCATAACCAGTTCCTCGGCTAACAAAAACGTGTTACTTTTACAGACGTTAGTATTTTTCACTTGAATTATGAGTCCATGAAAAGATGATGACATGAACAGTATTAAATACTCATATGCTATTTTCAAGAAGTGACTTGTGATGACGATTAAAAAATTGCATGAAACCTACCTCCAGAGCTATCGATCAACTTCGTCCACCTAATATATTAACACACTGCATTCAATTAAATTAGACTAGTGAACTAGTCAACAATAATGACCTAAACATAAATAACATTGGTCATTGCTCAATGATTCATCAGTTGTAAATATCTCAGTCTCATAAGAGGCCAGTTAAGAGAAGAATATCTAAATGATAACACCTCGGGCTACAAAGCTTGGTGATGTAGGTTATAATTTCGCCGAAAGTATCAGTTTCATCAGTATCACAGGTTTACCTTTGCTTAGGGATGCCAAACAGCACGAGAGCTGGGTATGCAGTTACATATCGATTAACTTCAAACGCCTAACAATAGACACCAATTTACTTCAATAAATAAAAACTATAAAACAGTGAAATTTCTTTACGTTCCGCAGTCACTAATAGATCAGCTAAGTTTACCGTTCATTTTATTTCGAATAAATCTGCTGAGAACTAAATTTAGTTAATTTATGTCGATTCAGTTACAGTAATCATGTATATAATCACCCTGGCAATTTTTGTTTGGTGCTCATTTCATTCGTAAGAGTTTACATATAGAAATATGAAGACTTATATTTTTGTGCCAGATTCAATAGTTTGAGTCAGAAATAACACTTAATACATACAAGTGCCAAAGCTCAACTTTGGTGCTTGGTACAAATTTCAGCATTTGGTAATGTGTACCGAATCGCCTGTAAGCTTTTTTGAATGGAACCATATGAGTTGGATCATAATTTTCTTTTCCCTGGAACCTCAACTATACGCATTCAACTTCAAACATGTGTTTGTGACAAATAAAATAAATAAGCATAATAAAAAGAGTAGCTTTAGTCAAGTAAATTATGATTGTTGATATAATGAACTATCATAATTTATGTATGTCTAGCTTGCTCGAACTCAACAGGGTAGATTTAAGAAGTCAATAGACATAATATAATTCAAGTGATCGGGTATCATAGCTCAACTAATAAAGCTTCGAACAATTAATCTAAATCTCTCTAGCTGAAATAAATTTTCACCTTAAAATTTCATCAATAATATGTACCACTTAGTTTTAAAGTGAACAGATTACTGTCAGTAATCGATATATACATCTAAAACCGGAGTGCGTAAAACTGTTCACTTGAACAAACTGCTTGTTAGACTCACTTCGATGTGCGATTAAATGAATGCTACAACCCAGTCAATCAGTTATCATCAAACATGTTAATTCTATTTTTTCAAAAAAACTGTGAATCACTGGTTTTAATATAACAGTGTAATATGTAACTTCGAAAACAAATCATGGCGTAGACAATGAGTGATATTTAAAGTTAACATATAATGTACTTTCATTATGCATTACTAATGACTAAGGTATTCCATTAACTTTATGTTCAAACTATACTCACAGTCAATCAGTCTCTGACTTCAAACATAGTGTTTCAGTTTATTAATGATAATGGGAAATAGTAGATTTTAGAATTTCACTGGTTACTTTTGTTTAGTTAGCTTGATACCAGTAATTAGTTTTAAACAAAAGGTGTGGATATATACTGAGTTAATCAGTTGCAATTATATATTTTGAAATGTCTTTTATAGTTTCTGTAATTAGTCTATTGATATTAGAAATGTCCCTTAGTGATTTTAATTTTCGTTCATTTTAAAAGGTATATCAATAGTTCATATGAAATAAAATTATACTAAATCACCTTTAACTTTCTCTGGAAAACATCACTCCAACAAATATCACTGAACCACGGATGTTCTAATATTTCATACATACTATCCTGTAATAAAATATACACAGATAAACAAAAATAACATGTACATTTCTCGTCAGTATAATTCTCAAAGATTATTAATAAGTCATTTGCAAATAGTAACTGGTTTTCATTAAAATTCAGTCATTTGATATTGAATCTAAATAATCAAGTATTCACTTATCTTTTCAGTTTCCATCATTCTTCCCTCAAATAAGATTAACAATTAATTAGATTATTTTCATCTCCTTTCACTTTTTGACAAAGTCCTGATATTAAAACATTGTTAAGCTTTATCACAAGTTGATTGAAGTTGTAAATTTGAACTGTTAGCTAAATCGTCTAAAAATAACATCCTCGTGTGTCTTAAGTGTTATTTGTGATTGAATCATGTGTATACACTGCGCGGTAGTCTTAAATTCTAACTAAAAATTAATCTCAACCATTAATCATGATTATTTATGCAAGGTTGCGATCAAGAAAGGATCTGTTATTAATAACTTATTACATTGAAAAATGTAAAACAAACAACAGGAAAATAAACTATTTGATATTCTAGAAACAAATAAGTGTATTGTTTCTCATTTAGATTTGCCTCTAATTGATGTATACCATTTTCGCAACAATATTAATTAATGTTGAAAGTTTATTTTAAGTTTTGCTGATTTATTTCATAAATCAAGGTCCTTAACATGTTTATGAAACAATTTAACTCAAATAGCTGAGATGATAAATCTCTTATCAGAATAACGCCAGTTAGATTGATCAACCACAAGAGCTCTAGAAGAGGCATCAGAGAGAAGAAAGAATTCTATCAATGTTTTATTCATTTTTAGTAAGGTCAAACTTATATATTTTTTTCAATACAAATTAAAAGTGGAATACAGTGTAGGGTCCTTCTTTCTACTTATGATTCGCTAAATGGATGTTTCTGCATTCTAATATTGATACTCATAATAAGTTTAAATAATATCCATCATTTCATAAGCCATTGTTTTATCAACTAAACTCCTTAAAAGATTTAGTCAGTAAACTGTTAAACAAAGTAATCTTTATCAATATTATTATTCTTTATAATGAGTTTTGTTGAAAAACATAAAAATGTATAAAATATTAAGGGATCTTCTGAAGAAGAAAAATTGATTTATTTCATACCTGAACATTAGGAACAGGAAAGTAGCAACTTATAGATAATTGTAAGTTTATCATACAGTTAAAAAGTTATCATTCATAATTTTATTAGAATAGCGTGAATTCATTTTATTTCGTAGGTTCTCGTCAGCTGCTTACAACCTGTAAGCAGCTGACGAGAACCTACGAAATAAAATGAATTCATGCTATTCTACTAGAATCTTTGTTCTTGCTCTTTTCAAAATGATAAAGGGAACTATGTGTATGAAATAATTTTATTAGTTTAATAAAAGACACCGCAGATGATGATGTGAACTTTTAAGAACTCTAAAAGAAACTTCTCTATCCTTAAAAAAATTGTTTTTATTTCTTACTTTAGAACTGCCAAGTCGTTCATTGAGATTCACACGTAAAAATTTCCTGACGATTGATCTATTTGTGACAATAAAATGCATTAAAATAAAACTGAGTAGATAAATATGAGAAAGAACGAAAATGAGTAAAAACAAAACAATGAATCTTGACATTCGATGAATTACTTTTCTAGTTTAAAAAAAATGTATTCAATTTTATTTTTTAGATGATAACTTGCAAGGCATGTCATAAAATGAAACGAAAAACGACCATGAAAGTTAAAACTGACCAATACGTGTATTACGCTAAATTTTGCCTATATAGAAATCGAAATAATATTGGACACTTGTCATTGTTTGTTTGAATCTTCCCATTAATGTTTCGAACTGCAATTGATCAGTCTCTTATTGACATATGTGCATACTGTGCGTATTGCCTCGATAGAGCCTTAATTCATGAGCATTATATGCAAAGACGGATAGTGGCTAGCAGTGAAATCCAGGACGCGCATTTCGTCCTATCTGGGACTCATCAGATAGATGTACCTGCATCTCAAAGCTGGTGTTCACTCCGGGAGTCGAACCTAGTACAGTTCGTTTCAAACGGCATCGCGTTATCCATTTAGCACAATATGCACATATGCCAATAAGTGACTAATCAATTGCAGTTCTAAACATCAATAGGAATATTCAAACAAACAATACCAAGTGAATTTAAACTTCACCTAATTGCACAAGCAAGTGGCTATCAGGTCTCAATAGCTTAGTAGATAACGCGATGGCGTTTAAAGCGGACGGTGCTGGGTTCGAGTTCCGGAGTGAACATCAACTCTGGAGTGCAGGCACATTCATCTGACGAGTCCCAAATAGGAAGAAAAGGGCGTCCTGGATTCCACTGCTGACCACTATCCATCTTTGCATACAATATTGGACACGTTTGAAATTCGGAGTAATAACATTTGTTGAACATGTAAAGATTTTTACAGTTTACGTACAGTTAAAACATGTAACTATTAACATTTGTGTAGCTATTTACTCAGCTCTTAATATTATATAATAAAAGTGTTTTTCTTCCTGTTTGTCCTGTTTTGGTAAGGTTAGTGACATAAAAATAGCATGTTTCTGCTGTGGTAACAGATTTTACTTCTATTCACGTGACTTAATCTTTAAGTGTAATCATCCAAAATATTTTCAAGATTTTTTAAAATGTTGAATAAGTTTAGCATAAACGACTTGAATGTCTTTAAATGGACGATGGTAACAATTTATTGCTTATATATTTGTTCTCTACTGAATCTAAGACTTTTCAAAAAAGTGTTTGATAGGAGAAAGATAAGACTTATGGTGCCTTCACTGAATACAGCCTGTAGGAAATTTATTTAGAAAGTATCCCATTGAGATAGACACTGGAATATCAGAAATGTTTGAGTACCGATCAATTGCTTACATGAATAAAAAAGTTATTCAACGTTTAATTGACTCAGAAGACAGTACACCCAATCGAAACATGGAGTAATGCAAGTACGTTAGGTAGGAAATTATCGGTGACGTGATGTATACAAACTCTTTTTTAATTTTTGTCAGTTGGAGCTGTCATTACGTGTGCTGATTGAAAAGATTTGTACATCAAACATTTATTAGCTCAAATAGTAATCCTGAATAAATGATTATTAACATGAAATTTCAATGCTACACAAAATAATATCAGGTCAGTTATAACTATTGGCAAACTTATGAGAAAAATTTAAACAGCACTAATTATTAAGCCGCATATTTTTAAAAGTAAATTATTCAGCTGAATTAAAATGATTTGATAAATGTTGAATTAGTTTGAAAGTGATGGAAAACCAGAAAATAAATAGCGAAAAATAATGATTGAATGTACTACATTTCCCATTTAGATAAGCAATAGAATCATATATTTCTAATGTTAATATAGTGAATCTATGAATAAGGCAGTTATCAACTGGGTTTAATTTATAAAACAGATAAAATATGTTTTCCCCAACGTAATATTTCTTAACTTTAACACAGGTAAACAACGATATAGGGTCATAAAATATATAACTGCACAAAACAAACACTACTTACTTAGCATTTTCATCTACGATTTCGTCTGGGAAGTCAAAATCTCCTGATACAATTTTCTGATATATATACAATCGATTATCGTTTTCATCATAAAATGGTGGACGACTACAGACAGCGAATGATCATCCATCCAATTTAAAGTTAATTAAGTAAAGCAGGATAAATTAGTAAAAAAAACAAGCAATACGTTAAAGAATTAATTGACTCAATTTAAACAAATTTTATGTTTACTCATTTTTATAAAGTTATATCTTCAAATTACTTACTTACTTACGCCTGTCACTCCTCGTGAAGGAGCATAGGCCGCTCACCAGCAGTCGCCATCCAATCCTGTCCCAACCAATCCTTTCCAGCTCCTTCCAGTTCCTATTGATCCTTTTCATATCTGCTTCTATTTCCCGACGTAATGTGTTATTTGGCCTTCCTCTTTTCCACGTCCCTTCAGGGTTCCAAGTTAGGGGTTGCCTCGTGATGCAGTTTGACGATTTGCGCAATGTATGTCCTATCCATTTCCATCGTCTTCTCCTTATTTCCTCTTCAGCTAGAAGCTGGCGTGTTCTCTCTCAGAGAATGCTGCTGCTGATGGTATCCGGCCAATGGATGTTGAGTATCTTGCGTGGACAACCATTTATAAATACTTGCACCTTCTTGATGGTGGTTGTAGTATTTCTCCAAGTTTCAGCTCCGTACAGTAGAACTAACTGCGTTGACATTCGTATTGAAGATTCTCACTTTGATATTGCTTGACAGACAGTTGTTTTGAGTTCCGTATGTTCTTCAACTGAAGGAATGCTGTCCTTACTTTGCCAATCCTCGCCTTTACGTCTGCATCTGAACCTCCTTGTTCATCGATGATGCTTCTCAGGTATGTGAAGAATTCTACATCTTCCAGAGTTTTGCCATCAAGAGTGATTGTATTACTGTTTTCCGTTTTGAATTTGAGAACCTTGGTTTTCGCCTTATGTATGTTGAGGCCTACTGATACAGAGTCTGTTGCTACACTGGCTGTCTTTGTCTGTATTTGTTGGTGTGTATGCGATAGGAAGGCTAAGTTATCTGCGAAGTCCAAATCGTCTAATTGATTCTGAGCCGTTCATTGTATTCCGTATTTTCCTTCAGATGTCGAGGTTTTCATAGTCCAGTCGACCATCAGAAGAAAGAGGAAGGGAGTGAGTAAACAGCCTTGTCTGACTCCGGTCCTTACTTGGAATACGTCTGTCAGCTATCCTCCATGCACGACCTTGCACTGTAGTCCGTCGTATGAGTTCTGGATAATATTGACAATCTTCTCAAGAACTCCGTAGTGTAAAACTGAAAGCCGAGTTCCTTCAAATTACCTTTATCATAAATAATTCTTTTCAATCGTCAATGGTATTATATCAACATCAGTGTAAGTTATTTTTATTTACTATTCAGCTTTTCACAAGGAAGTTATTAAAGTAAATAAACCTTAGGCTCTACATGAAACGATAAAATCATCCATTGATTGATAAATAAACAATAAATTTGAATGAAACAATATACCTCAAACGTTAAGCAAATTCAGATAACTTTTATGTCATTTGCCTAAACCTGTGAATGTTAATGGTCGTTGTTTTTTTTAGCAAATGTAATGGCTTACAACAGAAATGAACCGTTCTATTGAATGTTTCAAAAATAAACTTTAAAAAAAATAATAATAAATTCATTAAAGAAAGATATAATGTGTCTGTAGTGCAACAAAAATTGCCTTCAGGCATGAAAAATAGATGTAATCGACTTAATGTATTATAAGACTCATGTTGATTATACAGAATATTTGGATTATTTCTTATCAAAGAAAATACATTTTGTTTTTGAAAGAAAATTAAACGAAACATAAAATTCATTAGAAACATGAAACTGTTTGATTTAAATGTTGGAGATTTAGGTTACAGCCATGTGGTTTGATGAACGCCAAGTGATATATGAAAGTAAAATAAGAACGAGATGTTTTTTTACCCTTTTTTTAATCATGTCGACTATCTTTGATTTTCATGTGTGCATTATCAAAACAAATTTTTGACCGATATATAAACGTTTCATTTTTGGATCTTCACTTCACTATAACGCTAAGTTTTCTACCTATTGGCCGATAATTAAGTCTAACTCTTTATTGTTGACTGATCATACTCACAACTATACTTTACATCTGCTTATTCAGAAAAATTGATCTTTTCGACCACATCACAGATTGAATCATTACAATAAGTAATAATGCATGACTTTTCTTACCCTAATAGATAGATATTTTGCTTATTATGAATCTGAAATTTATGTTTGCGATCGACTATCATTCAACTTATTATCCTAGTTTACACTAATCGACCAAAAAAGCAACGTATCCGGAAATGGGTTAATTATGTGATTACTTGGAAGATGGAAATAAACAGATCTTAAATAAATAGATAAAACGTACCCAACCAACATTTCATAAATAATAATTCCTGTAGTCCACCAATCAGCTGCATGATTGTGACCTTTACCCTGGAGAATTTCAGGTGCCAAGTATTCTGGTGTACCACAAAGTGAATAAGTTCTAAAAGTAGATGAAACATCATAGGAAACAACGTATCAACTAATGATATCATTTTTATGTGGTTCTGACTAATAAATATAAACTAAAGTTCTGTGGTGACATACTCAGTAGGGTGTTCATTTGTGATAAGTTAAAATGTTTAGATGAATTGTTTATTATCCGAACCAATAACCCACATATTTCCATGCTCTTTCATTTAAAATTTATCTCATTTACACAAGGTTTGTAAAAATAAAAAAATACGAGAACATTTCCTAATTACTGACTATAGAACTAATTGTTTATAAGCTACATCAATAAAAAATGTATTTTGGTGAATTATTGTTTGTCATTAAAAAACTAATTGACTTGTACATCTATATTAAGACACCATTATACACATAGTTTTGAAAAATAGCTTTGTCAACTCTTTTTTCCGGAATAGGACGTTTTTAAACTCTTATGAGTAAACTCAGATTGTGTATGGAAAAAAAGCTTTTTCTTGAGTGGTTGAGTGATTGATACTAAAGTTACTTATATTCCTCACTATCAAACGTACATCCAGTTATAAGCGGTGTTATACAAGGTAATGTTCCATGATATTTGGTTTTTATTGTCTTTCATAAGTGATGTTTATTATTATTTCAACACGGGTAATTTTTTTCTGGTTTTAGTATTCATTTTCCCACACGATCATTGATATACAAAATTGCGTTACAATGGAATTCAACAAGATCTCACCAATGTACAAGAAGTATGAATTAGGACATAGTACTGAAAAAAGCAGATAGGCTTGCTGGAGTGATCTTCATCATTAATAAAGCTTCTTCATAAATGACATGAAGTGGTCTTGTTTTTACTGAGTGGTAGATTTGTCTGCAGCTTGTTTTTTTATAATATGTCACTAAGCAGATATTAAGGTGATGTCAACTTTTGTGTTACATACTGAATAGTTTGCATAGATTTCATTGTACATGGTATATATTCTATCAAAGAACACTATAATTATGAGTAATGTTTTCATTGAAGATAAAACTAATGAAGAATCTGCTCTAGGTATCTTTACTTCCTCTATGACTGTACTTTATATCAAGAATCCAGATGCAACGAAACGGAAAATGATCCCTTGTAGAATCAGAAGCTAATCTAAATTTGATAATTTTTTAAAGGTTTTTAGTCAGTTACCTTTTACATGCAGCAGTTCTGTTGAACTCATTATAGCAAGAATTTGAAACATTCTCAACTCAATGTTGATGTTCATTGAAATCATGAACCGTACAATGCGAGACTATCATTGAATTTGTGGAAGCACAGAACGGGCTGCGCGAGACCAAAAGTCCTGGGTTCAAGTCCGACGCGTGGGATCCTGGATGCGTACTGCTGAGGAGTCGCGCGCTGGGACGAAACTGCCGTACAGTGCTTCTAAGTTTTTAGTGGTGTGTGCTACCGGTGTCGACAGATATAAGTAGTATGTATCATCAATTCAAAGTGAAATGTATGGAGGCAGAAGGTTAAGAAGATAGAAGGAAAGAGAACGAGAACAGAGAATGATTGGTGTGGAAACGAAAGAACAATGAGGTCTGAGATGATTGATTGACATTTTGCAGAAGGAACAGTCAATTTACTGTATATTTCTCAGATGTTACTAAAATGTTCTGTGATTTTCTAATCAAATACATTTGATTGTCCTGATTGGTGTTGTCGTTCACTACGGTCTTACATCGATCGATCTGTGGTTTCAATGAAATTCGACAATATCCTCAACTGCTTACTGTCAATTTCAAAGGTAGAGATTTTCTTATTCCGATTCCATTCTAAGTTAAAATTGTACTACGACGAAATGTTTAAAAATCTAAGATAACTGAAGCGGTCTATCCGTGAAAGCAATCAATTACAATTTTTTTATAATATTTAGTGGATATTTTTAACTATTTTGACAATATCTTAGGAGTGCTTATATCAAAGAATATATCTTAGTACATGGGGACGTTAGAGATGTAAAGATTCACAAGTGAACTTGACAACAAAACGTCTTTGGTATGCCCTTTTATTTTTTTACTATGTTATAGGCAAATATTAAATTCCTCAGACATTATCTGATTAATCTCAGACTTCAGTCTAATTGCATCATTCTCTTCGTTATTGTAGTGATATTAACAAAAGGGCAGGTTAGTTTTAAACGATCTCTTCTATAAATCAGTTTGTCAGGAATCAATAAAAAATAAAAGTAGTAAATTTCAGATTTCTTGCTCTATGCTCTTATTTTCTTTCTTCTAGTTAATATAAACATTGTTATTTGTCCAAAACCGCCCCACATTACACTGTTCATTATGCCATTTTGCTATTCCAGTTTTTAGACGAAGAAAATACCGGATCTTAAATCCTTGTCTATCTACACGTTCTATTCAAAACAATAGCAGCTTTCTATGGCTAGGAAAAAATCGACAATTTAACAACATATCTTAGTACGATGTAACAGTCTGGTTTAATTCTATCATCAACATCAACGCTACTTCAATTCTCATCTACAAGTCAAACTCTTTATACAATCTCTTATCGCACTATAGCTTTTATTCGTAACAATAATTTCTTTTTAATACTGAAAGACAAAATGTTGTGAAATATCAATCTGTATTCCAAAGATTGAAAACTTTAATATACTTTTAAAAATAGAAAATTAATTTCTATCATCCTATAACTTACTCTACTTTGTGGCTAGGAAGACTTTCTTAGAGTATCTACGTATATTGAACATTACTTATAACAATAACTTTATCAGATGGGCTTTTGTGGAGATTGTAGTAATTTCAATGGCTAAAATCATGAGTCAGTTGAAGCTAGACCACCATGGAAAACCTGGAAGCACTGGATGGCCGTTTCATCCTATTGTGGGACTACTCAGCAGTGCGCAACCACGACCTCGCCCCTTGCGAGATTCGAACCCAAGACCTACCGGTTATACGCTCGAGCACTTAACCACTAGGTATATCCTGGAGTTCTAGTGAGAAGCAGTGACCAGTGGAGTTCAACCAGGTCTGTTGTGAGATAGTAACTCACTGAAGACAATGGTGAATGTGTCGCTCAATTTCGTGGATTAGTTGAAGTTAGACATTAACACCATTGGATGCCGTTCAGTGATCTAGTGGTTAAGTGCTCGCGCGCGAAACCAGTAGGTCCTGGGTTCGAGTCTCGCAGGGGACGAGGTCGTGGATGTGCACTACTGAGGAGTCCCACAATAGGACGGAACGGCCGTCCAGTGCTTCCAGGTTTTCCATGGTGGTCTAGCTTCAACTGACTCATGATCTTAACCATCTAAATAGTTCTATCATTGCAAAGCTTATGATTAGTATAGTACATATTGAGTCAATAATTCTGTATTTCAAAATGACTTCATGTTTGATTGTTCATTTTGTATGTTTTTCTATGGTTCATATCCTCACAAATAATCGATTAGAATAATTTATAATTCATGTCCGTACACATAAAGTACGTTTACTTTTATTATTACCTTGTCCTTCATTGTCTACCTGATTATCCTTGTTAATCGATGTTGGATTTTTTTTAACCATTTTCTGAGAAAATTATTATTTATAATTTATTTATAATTATGAAAGTACAATTACTTTAGTTTTGAAATGATAAGAATATCAGCTATAAACGGTATTTATTCCAGTTGCGAAGATGAATAATTAGCTTTTCTGAGAAAATACTTTCAAATGTATAGTTTAAAGCAATCAAGCTTTAAAAAAAGATAAATATTATGTTCATTTGCATGATTTTATTTTAGATTAACTCATTACAATTAACGGTGGGTGAACACATACCAAAATGGTTGCAGAAACAAATGGATTCCAATGGGCAAATAAGATCACAGGATAGACAGACATCATCCTTCATTGCAAAACATTTGATTGAGACGGGTTGACATCAAATCAGCATTTGTAGTACTATACAAGAGCCTTCAAGGACGTATACTAAGGTTTACTGAAGCCTTGGCTATACGAAAATTGAAACCCTCTTTATGTGTTCAAAAACAATTTGTCCTTACACTTAACTTACCCTGGTAATACTGATTTATTATCGAGAGTGGTAATCATATTTGTTTTTGTGTACTTCAATATTTTTCCTTTGTTATGACACCCTTAACCTGTCTAGTTGACCTTTTAATTTCCATATAAAAATGTTCTTAACAAGTATATGTATGATCAGATTGTTCGAAATGTATTGCGCAAATATATCACATAATTCTGATAAACTTCATCTTCTCATTGCATAATCGAAATTTATCAAAGGGACTTATTGTTTTAAATAACTCATTACTTTCTGTAGTTAAAGCTTTTTATTGTTAGATCGAGATTTCATAAAGTCTTGATTAGTCCAAATCACTACGACAAATTTTGTTCCTCCACGACAACATATTTGCATAACATGTAGTTTTAAAACGTTTTTATTCATTTTATAATTAATAAAATGAAAAAACACATTCGAACTAATTTAACACTATGAACAAATTAATAAGTGTATAGTCACGAGTATTTCCATCATAAAATTTCAAGATTATAGATTATTAAAAGTCATGTTTACTGAGAGATGTAATGCAAATGGGTTAATCTATTCCAAACTAATAATTTGCAATATTAACTAATATGTTACAAAATTAGTTAAAAGTAATTTCTTTATGGGTGAATAGATCATGCTTTTCTACTTTGGACATATCATAATGTGATAAGACATAACCCATGTACCATAATAACAAATTAGCAATGGGATCAATAACCATCACCAACTGATCACTTACCTATTTACCATTCTGTAACGAATCAATCTTATTGACTGAACATATGCTTAAAAATCTTATCGTAAAGTTTTTGCAGAGAAAGTTAGGTAAAATCGAAAGAAACAGTCATTACTATCATAGGCCTCTTAGCCTTCTGCCTTATAAACTGAAGTTATCACTTGTAATACTACCTTAGTTTGGTCGAACATATTGAATTAAAAATTATCGTAATATTTATACATTAGTAAACGTTTTCACTCTACAGATTTACAGCAACATTGTCAACTAACCGGTCTTTAACATGCTTTGCGAATCCAAAATCAGTCATCTTCAAATGACCTGAATAATCCAAAAGCAAATTTTCCGGTTTTAAATCTCTATACACGATATTCAAACTGAAAATAACACAAGAAAAATTGAATAGAAAACTTTTTCTTATAAATAGCTTAGTTCATATTTGTTAAATCCATGAGTTAGTATATTTGTTATAAGAATACAACTAGGCAGACAATTTTCCAAGTAAGCTTTTGATTGAGTATCATAACAAAGTGTTAAATAAAACTCCCAAGAATTTGATAATTCCGTCGGCTTACAACTGTTTATGCAAAAAGCATTATATAATACACCATATACTCGTTTTACGTTTAATATATACAGATTAATAGTATACTTTAATTGACAGCTAGATATTCATACAGCGATTTCATCATCCATTAGATCATATAAGTAATCACCTACCATGTATCATTTATTCTTCATGGTGTATATTACCGTGACTAATATATACTCTAAATCGTACTAAGGTGAAAAAGAATAAAGATGACGGGAAAAAGGGTATATAATGAACAGCCTACTTAATCAAATAATTTTAGCTAGTTTGAACGATGCATCATAATATGTAACCGTTAAAAAAAACACTTCAATATGTATATTCATAAACTTTCTGTTCTGGACTCACTGATACCACCACAATAATAGTTTGTTAAGATATCGAAATTCATTACTCTATCTGTATTATTATTAGTTAAATGAGTGGTGACATAGTATATTTTTTTCTAAAAATTTACGTTATAACTAGATAACTGAGGTAAAAACTATAACATTGGTTACCACTTTAACCAGCTAATTGTAAGTTAAATGAAACTATGGGAATTGCAAAACAGGAGAGAATGGGAAAAAAATGTTTCACATCATATCTCTGTAAAACTAATTACATTATTGGTATAATTACCATATTAATCTTAGTATTTTATCATAACCTTGTTTTGAATGTTTCACAAATAGAAAATACTTATACTGTAACAAAAAAATATGATCTGATTTTTATCTTATAAGGATGTAAATACGGTTAATGTTCTTAGTCTTATGGATTTTAGTAAAAGAGTATATCATCGAGTTTTATAATTATTTATATATTTACAATTAATCCATGGAAGATATCACTACTTCGATGATAGTGACTAGGAATGAATAACATAAAAATAAATTGAGTGAAAATCTCAGTGAAAAGAGATTTGACGTACATTGATTAGTACGAGTCCAAATACATTGCATTATATTGATAAATTGAAATCATTATTATTATTTAATTTACTTACTATTAAATTGAGTGGTCGTAGATATTTTTTTTATAAAAAAGACATCAGTATCTGAATGTTCACAATCATTCACTAACCACAATAAACCTAAATTTCATAGGAGCATCATCATGATACTTCATATATATATATATATATATATATATATATATATATATATATATATATATATATAAATCCTTGAAAATCTCAATATGAAGTATAGAGACTTCTAATGCAGTTATATGTTTTTTATACAATAGAAGTTTTATGATGATTCCATACGTTTATTGATTATCTCATTTTGTTATTTAGGATGAAAGATTTTTGAACACTTTAGTTGAAATAAAATTTATACTGAAGACTGTCTTCACATGCTGGAAAGTTTCATATTAAGACGAAACAGCTGTTCATTGCTCCATAGTTTTCACTTATTGTCTATTAAAAGGCGATCTCTGTTGCAAGCTATTTTCAAATTAGTTTTAGTGGAACAAAACTACATTCCTCAGAGATCATAACAACAGACAATTAGACTGGAAATAGACATTAAGAATTTAATTCACAACTACAGAACAGTCGTTTCTAGTAGACAAAGTATGATCGAAGATGAACGATTATGTATTTCGTTCCTTTATTGGTCTTTTCCGTTTGACATTCAGAGTACTCAAATAAAGGTATGAAGATCACTTTATCCAAGTCTTAACTAGCAGTGTGAACAATAGCTGGCAAATGACTGAATGTGGTTAATAGAAAGCCTTGAATTTAGATTTCGTGGTAGCTAGTATTTTATCAAAACAAGTACCAATGTTCGGGGTAAAGAAGTCCAGTTTATGAGTTAACTGTGTTACCTGATAGCAATGTGTAACATGTTATATAGTCATTACTGATGGTCTACTGATGTCATTTCAAATTGCTATATATCGTTTAGTGGTTATTTTTTATTACAGTGGATTTTTTTTACATTACACAGTTGGAAACGGTCAACAGAAAATCATAAATTTGGTTTCTTGATACACAACATAATATATCTGCAAGGGTTCCATCAAAACGTTTTGATTTAAAATGTTGCTAAAAAAACAATAACTAACCTATGTAAATATTTCAGTGCTAAAATAATTTCACTTGTATAAAATCGTGTAGTTTCAGATGAGAAATGGCCCACTTCTCGAAGATATTTAAACAATTCACCACCGCATACATATTCGAATAACATGTATAAAAATTTCGCATCATGTCCAGTCCAATACCTTGGAAGCAAAACAAAAATACAAACTTGGAGGTAAAGTTTTTTGTTATTTAAAAATTAGCTTATTATGTGAAGTTATGAAAGAGATTAAGAATTAGAGACTGATGTAATACTTTTTGAATTTGGCAACTAAGTTATGAATAAAATATATCAAATAAATATTACAAAATCGAATTATAAACGTATATTTATTCTCATTTGTTTCTCTGAATAATTATGATAAGATTATTATGAACGCATTATGATGATTTGAGAATGACAGTGGCTATATGTACTGCATACGTCACAATCAGTTTATAAATAATAAATATTATTATAATAAAATATAAATAATTACATCTTTCGTTTTCACACATAATAATCTTACATTTTATAGATATTCATAATTTGGTTGCTAAATAGTTTAAAATTTTCTCTAAAAATGAATAAAATTGAAACGATGCTATCTTTTCTCTATCTATTGTGGGATTCAATGAAAATGAAATATCAAATATCTATATGTTTTATACTAAGATGAATGGTATCCTACTTGGTAAAGTCTCCACACGGTATTTTATCAAGTTATATTCAGTATATTTATGAACTCTAATGTCCGGAATTGTAAGCAAAGATACCACAGCTCTAAAATTTTAGAAGCAATTTAAAATGAATATATATTTTAAAATTATAATTCAATGTTTCCCACTAATTCCAGTTTACACAAAATGATCTTATCAGAAGGGGTTTGTGGAGATTTTAAAAATTTCACAAATTGAAATCATGAGTCAATTGAAGCTAGACCACTATGGAAAACCTGGAAGCACTGGACGGCCGTTTCGTTCTAGTATGGGACTCCTCAGTAGTGCGCATCAACGATCCCGCACCCCGCAACATTCGAACCCAGGACCTATCAGTCTTGCGCCGGGCGTTTAACGAACTAGACCGCTGAGCCGGCTTCAATTGACTCATGATTTCAATCTGTGAAATTTCTAAAATCTCCAGAAACCCTTTCTGATAATAATTATCTGCTCATTGGTGACTGACTTCAGGAAGATACTCCTGGAGTTCTAGTGAGAAGCCGTTACCAGCGGAGTTCAACCAGGTCTGTTGTGGGATATCAGCTCACTGAAGACAATGGTGGAGCAACTTCGTGGATTGGTTGAAGTTAGACATTAACACCGTTGGATGCCGGCCGGCGCACTGCTGAAGAGTCCCATACTAGGACGAAACGGCCGTCCAGTGTTCCCAGGTTTTCCATGGTGGTCCAGCTTCAATTGACAAAATGATCTGTTTTGAAATTTAATAAACTTTAAGTGCCATTTTGGTGAATTCGATGTTACCATTTCATCGAAATTTGAACAATATGGAATGCCACTGAACAATCCTACACTTGTCTAATACTTCGAAAAAGAATTTTTTACAATTGTCTTGATGAATATCATTGTTGGTTGGTTCAACGACATATTTTATTATTCAAAATAAGTTTTTATATTAAGGTAAAAAAAACCTCATATCAAAAGTAGCCGTTTATTTTACCATAAAGACTGATACAAATAAATCGTATTTCTAATCTTTTCTTACCATCACAGAAGAATGTTATAAAGTTGACTATATTTTTTTACTTCTCAAAAGCTTAGTTTTTATTCAATAATTATGAAACTATGTTAACATGCAGTGAACAATATAATATTAAAAGCTGTCAACAAATATATCTTCTGATATCCAAATTGAAACTTGAAATGTTTCAACGTTAAACTGGAAAAAAAACCTGATGTCGTCATGAAAATTTGTTTTTGAACAAGGTTCCCAGAATTCCTAGAAGAATATTATTAATAATTTACTTCAAAATAGTCATCATTATCTGATGTTATTCATAGTATATTTAAACTCTAATAAATGAAGTTCCAATGAATTCATTAAACGTATGCATATGCTTAGAAAGTAATTCATAAGAAAAACATTTTTATTCATTAGAAGTTTTAGAAAATATAACAGTTTCTTGAAGAAAATATCTTGAATTAATAAATCACTTCTTCATACAATTCCTTAAGCAAGTTGTACTTTTAACTTAAAGGATATCCAGAGAATTTATTGCATTCGTTAAGTGTTATTACGATGTTTTTTTTAATTTTAACAGTAGTATAATTTATAACTGAGAAATAACCATTTTAAAATGAATTATGTTGTTTTATGCAAATTAATCAAAATCATGTTCATTGAATAAATTTTTTTTAGAATGTTTTGAATATTGTCAACAAACTATTTGTCATTATGTGTCACACATTTGCATGAGGTGTTATATGAAAATAAATGTCAAACAGTAATATGTATATGCGAAAAATGACCTGAAAAGTCTAAATCTTAATTTCATGATTACTAACACTGATAAGATATTTACTTAGACTGTAAATAAATAGTGCTGTAGTGTATTCTTCTTATATCTGTCCACATAAGTAGGATGTAGAATCAATCGAAAGAGGAAAACCTGGCAGCAAAAGCTTAAGATCAAGTTGATAAGAATAAATAAGAAAATAGAATGGAATCGTCAACTGAAAGAATCATATAGAATGTGAAGGACAAATGATAAAAATTTGCAAATAAAGTATCTAGTGTAGAGTTCTCATATTTTACGATGATATTCTGTAATTCCGTGTTAAACAATAAATTAATTGTCCCCACCTATGTACTAGGTCCTAACAGTGCTATTCTATGATAACTGAAGTTTCTTCATTTTGCACTACTCTTGAAATCGATAAAGTAATCATGATAATCATTCGATAACTGATTTACATTAGAAGTGAAATACTGGTCATAATGATTTATTAAACTTTGGAGTATCTTTTTGACAACTGGTTCACAAATTCTAATCTGCTCCAGTAGAATGATTTATTAGCCTCATTATCACAAGACTTTCAAATTATTTAAATAAGCCACTCATGAAATTTATTCAATTTAAATTTAGTTTACACGGAATAATAACAGCTAATGAGCACAAAGAGAACAGACACTTTGAAATTGAGAAATATAACATAGACAACACTATATAATAGTGACATTATATCGTTCACTGAATAAAGGTGAAAAGTGGGACTAATGAATTTGAGATCGGCAATTTAAGGATATCGTATCGTTCTCAATAATTAAAGATTTTGAATCCCCCTACGTGAGTAGTCATTGATTTTAACAGTTTCTCAAGTTTAAATCAAATAACTTGTCAGTTCCCTGAGGATTCAGATACCTTTTTACATTTTTCCTAGTTCATACTGATAACTAAATGCAAATTTTATCAAACATATCGTTATTTCATAAATAAAGAAATTGATTTAAAAGATAATTTTACACTGTTATGAAATAAATACTCTTAATTGTACATCTGCAAAGGTATCGAGTTTAAGAACTAATTGAGTATAATAATAAACGACTACCTACAAATTTGTTTCGAAATTAGACACAAAAGCAAATACTCACATTAGATGGTAGTTGGAGGTAGTCGATAGGAAACCCTGGTTTCGTGCTACTTGGCACTCGTCAGCAAGGCGTACCTGTAATCTTATGGGAACTGGTGCTCCCTGGCGGATTCAATCTCGTGTCACCCAGCTTCACAGTCAGAGACGTTACCACTGAGCTATCCGGGCCGCGACCGACCTCCTGTAGGACTGTGATGTAATCACAATTGACTGATCATTGGGTGGCGATCAATGTCATTCGTGTCTAGTCCTTATTAGTGCATGACATTGATCGCCACCCAGTGATCAATCAATTGTGAAATAGTCATATATTTCATAGAATTCACTAATTAATCCATTTCTAAATAAGAATTATCCTGATAATTGTTAGATAACAGATTATAACTAGATAGTACACGCCATAAAAACTACATATCAACATATAAAATTCATTTTACTTAGTTCAATCAAACTGTCCTAGTTTTAATGTACAAATATTTAAAACTTACTTCATAATGGAAAAACTACGAATTTCTTAGTTATATGTTTATTTTATTTTTCATTATCGAATATAAAAATCTATCTCTATTAGAATTCATGATAAATTTAACCTACAATATAGAAATTCATGTTTCACCATTAAATAAATGCTTGATTAGATTAGGTCAATAATTATTTTTATACTAAGATATTATATTATCTTTACCATTATATATTAGCAAACTTTCTCCCATGTGATAATGTTTTATCTTTTACTAAATCCACGAATCAACATGTAATTATAATGCAGTCCAGAAATATATGTATATACTCTTTCGATTTATTATGTCAATTAAGAATATCACTTTTATCAGAATGGGTTTTGTGGAAATTTCTTTTTAGTTGGTTAAGCGCCTGACGCGAGACTGATAGGTCCTGGGTTCGAATCTCGTGAGTTGCGGGATCGTTGATGCGCACTACTGAGGAGTCCCGTACTGGAACGAAACGGCCGTTCAGTGCTTCCAGGTTTTCCATAGTGGTCTAGCTTCAAATGACTCATGATTCAACCAGTGAAATTTCTAAATATCACTTTTGTTTTCCGCATTATTTCATTGGTAACAATGTTTCGTTTTACATTCAAATAAAGAAAAACTCTTGAAGATTTTCTGAATATTTTGTTCTGTTTTTCAATGTTTATAACGGACTATAATAAACAGGTGATTTGCACAATAGTCATAGCTTCTGTAAAGATAGTAGATTTTATTTTTTTATACTAAAAAATTATCTTCTTTGTTTTAAACCACTCATAGATTAATGATGATTGAACTAATGTCATCTTATATTATTAATTTACTATTTGTCTGTTATAATAGCACTAAATACAAGTGCAGAATTTTTCATGATATGTGATAATTGAAACGTTGTAGTAATAATTAATATAAGCTAGTTATTGTTGCTTCATTTTCTGTTTAACTCGTTTAGGTAACTTCAACTATGAAATTAAATCAGTTATCAAGTAAATTATATAGATTTATGTCATATAATCACATGTCCTATCTGATTAAATCTTAGAATCGATATCCTTCGACAAATAACT